AAGCATAGAGATTTTGCGAGTTTCAGTGACAAATCTAGAGGAAGCATTATTGATTGTTAGTTGTTGCCTTGGTGATGATTACTTTAAGGTGTTGGTGTTGTTTACATCTAGCCAAAAACTTCTAATAGGACAACAAAGATTTTGGGTTGTCCTTTGGGTTGATAAAATCTTATATATGAGTGGTATCTATGCAGAAACTATGAGGGTTATGAATCACAAATCAAAGTCCATCACTATCCATCCTTAAGGCTTGTATACTAAGCTTCTATAAGGAAGATTGGAGAGTTAGTGAAAGTACTTCCATTAATTCAACAATATTAGTTTCCTCTAAGTTTAGTAGATTTAAAATATTTTTACTATTTTATCGTCAAGGGGAAAGGAAAACTCCTACATCTACCTCCCCTGAAAGTTCTTGATCCACCACTCTGGAAAAGCATCTTTTTGGAAAGAAGGAAACTTTGCTGCTAGAAGTAGCATAAAGAACACCATTAACAGTATATCCTTGGTAATTTAAATTTGGAAGGACTAAAGGAGTGATGACTACTTTGCTTCCCGAAAACAATGCCGGTCAGAAGAAGCAGATCAACTCAAAGGCCCAGGAATTTTTGGTGGGAGATATGAAGTGGACTTCCAGGAGGATCTTGACCCATTACGGTGGCTGGTAGATATGCGTAAAAGCGAACTTCAGGGTAACTGGAGAGCTATTTTCACTCTGAGAAAAAAGTTTTCTTGGAATGAAGTTTTTAAAAAGCTGTTTTTGGTTTTGGCTGGAAAGAAATGCTATAGATTTTGCAGGGACAAGAGAAGTGGAAGATAGTAAGATTTAATGATTTTCTTTGCTGCTCTTTAAAGAATCTTCTGTGTTTATTACAACCCCTTTTTGATCCACACAAGTTGGAGGGTTTTTTTAGACTCCCTTACTTATAGGATGTTTTGGTTTAGCCGTTTTACCTCATTTTGAATATCAGAGAGTACTTCTTGCGAAAGTAAAATATAACTTCTATATTTACATTTTAACATGGCTTGTATTGCATAGAAAGTTCACCTAACTGTGGTTATTTGATTGTCATTCTTCCTTTATTTATTTATTTCCGTCATAAATTAGTTTATATGTCAAACTTATTGTATAGTAGTTTTATCTGTGTAAACTATTTGTAGATTGTTTAATGTTATAGCTCAATTGAGACTACTTGCATTATTTGCGAAGCATGCCAGCTTAGGTTACTACAATGGTCATATTTCTTTTGTATTTCCTTGGCTAGGGGTGAATACCTCGTTATCCCCTTTTTTCTTTTATCTTTCTGTTTTATTTGCTGAAATTATTTCTTAGAAAGTTGCATATCCAATAGCATTATCTTTAGACAGAACCCTCCAACCATATGGCTAATGGATATAAAAGATGACTCAACATTTGGAGGTCAAAGTAGAACTTCTTAGACTTTACCTGGTTTCATTTAATGTTATAATGTTTCAAATGTTTTGTTGTTTTATGTTAATTGAACGTCCAAATTAGATAATTATAAGGAGGAATAAGCTTGGTCATGTTCTTTTCTGTTATATCTACACTTCTTTGTGATTGGGTAATGTTGCTGATCCATTCCGTGGCGCGAAATCCCTCATTGGCTAAACAATCATTTGGATGACTGTTAGGATTGTTTGGAGTTGTCTTACCATGGATGTGTGTGGCTGGGCAATTGTTTGGTTTCTGTTCTTTGGAATGTGTCATGGTCTCTATCTCTTGCTGTTTAGCAGCTTCTTTGTTCATTGGCTTGTTTTATGGAAAAAAAAAAAAAAGAAAAAGAACTCTTTATGGTGTAATGTTGAGTTTGCTTCCCCTTTAGATTCAAGCCTGCGGTACTTGAAAAGATGAGGAGATAATCAAAACGGGCCAAGGCCAGGCCATAGTGGGGGCAAGGGGGTGTCCCCCATGCCAAAGGGATATCAATCAAAAGGCTTGAGGGTGTCCCCCATGCCTAAGGGATATCAAACAGAAGGCTTGAGGGTGTCCCCCATGCCTATTCTTTGATATCCCTAAGTAAGTGCAGTTGTTAAAGTTGTCAAAGGGATATCAAACAAAAGGCTTGAGGGTGTCCCCCATGCCTATTCTTTGATATCCCTAAGTAAGTGCAGTTGTTAAAGTTGTCAAAGGTGATGTGTGAAGCAAAATAAGTGTGGCTTAAAAGTTCATAAATGAAACACCTCTATTAGATAGAGGTTTTCACACTTGGGGCAGTTACGTCTCTAAGGAGATGCACGGCTGCTTTTCTCTCTTTGTTGTTTTTGTATTTGTTTTCCTCCCATTTAGATTAGCCTGACACTAACTCTCCGTTGAAATCTCGGTTTTCAGGGATTCTTAGGAGACTATCACTTCAAGAGTAAAACACAGCAAGATGAGTTTACTCCGGACGGATTGTGTCGAGCAGCTATGTATGCTTTATTTGTGAACGAGGAGCTTGAGTCATGGCCGGAGCAGGACACGAGAAACAGAAGTTGGGTGACCATACCTGAGGCAATTGAAAACTGCAGGCACGCATGGATGAGGGATGCCCTTGTCAATGGCTTCAACAAATGGCATGCAGAAAACATGAGCGATGAATAACTTGAATCTTGAAATGTATGCACATTACGAAGTATATGGTGCATATGAACAAGTTATCTTTATGGATTGTTTTTTAGAGTCCCTTTTTCCCCTTCGCCAGCAAATCAAATCAAATCAAATCATGAAGAAATCAAGCAGTAGAACACTAACACTGATGATGTTGAAGGATTACATAGGCAACGTTTTGGTTGCTCATTTATTATAATACACTTCCGTATTAGTGACCCCTGATGTTTTTTATTCGGAGGGAATTCAATCCTTGTTTAAGCACTCCTTCAAGCTTCCTTGAAAGCTTTTACAAATGTATTTCAAATTTTCTTGTTCATTTATTACAAGTCTGATGAATTACATGCCATTTTTCAATATGATGGTATATATAGAGGGATATGAACTCGGAAAATTGCGTATTGGAATCGATAAAATTGAAATGGTGATGTTTGTCTTATTTAAGCACTCGTTGAAGCTTCAATCGATATGCTTTGTCCGCTGTGACCTGCTGTCAACCTCATAGTTTTAAAACGCATTTATTAGGTCCACACTTTTATAAGGAATGTTTTATCTTCCTTTCAACAATATTGTTTAGAGGGAGTACGTTTCTGTTAGTATCTATCTAATGTTTGTGTTCTTGATACTAGCAGATATTGTCCGTTGTCAACCTCATGGATTTAGATCATTTGATGACCGTTGTCAACCTCATGGATTTAGATCATTTGATGACCCGTCGACCTCACGATTTTGGATCATTTGATTACGTATTATCGAGTTTGTGAAAGACTTGATTTTTATTATTTATAAACACACCATTAGTCTTTTTTTAAAAAAACTCTTCGATTCCTTTTTTTAATTTGTTTTCAGACTTTGTTTCTTTTTTTTTGTTGGAAGAAAGCTCCTCCACTCAAAAAAGGTTTTGTTTTTTTTCCTTTTCTAGAAATAATTAATCATTAAATCTCTGTAATTTTAAACCTTATCATAATTGGAACAAACAGTCAATCAAATCACCATTAATTTTCTGCCCATAATTACTATAAAAAAATTCCACCAAAATTTGTAATAAATAGAAGTGTATATTAATTGAAAAATCCTAATTGTTATATTATCATAATATTTATTTATTTTTGAAAATTTCGAAGTATGACATTATTTTGTATGGAGTTGGATATTATTTAACAATAATTTATCAAAAAATAATTAAAATATTATGCTACAATAAAACACTTGAAAATGATTTAATTTAATTTTAAGATGGGGACTGCCGACTTACATTCAACCATAAAAAAAAGGTTTAATTATTTAAAATGGAATCTTTAAACTTTAAATTGAATATGGTTTTTATTTAATAATTTCGGTCAACAATTTACTTTATTTTTTAAAAAACAACAAATTATTGAACATTCATAACATGTTTTTTGACCGTTGACCAATTTATTTATAAATTTTATGAGCAATTTCCAAGGATATTCCTACTCATCTCTACAAGAAAATGCAATTCCGTTTTTAATTTTGAATTTGGTATAATAGATTCTTAAATTTTCAATTTTGATTTAAATAATTTTTTTTGTCGGATTAATTTTTTTTAAAATTAATTAATTTGTTACGTACAAATTTAAATTTTACAAAAATTTGGTGAATTCATGAATTTTTATGAAAGTTTAGAACTAAGTTTACCATTTGACTAAATAAATAAAAAATTGGATGTCTTCTGAAAAAAAATTGTATTTTAATTTCCGAATTTCCAAAAAGGAAAAAATAAAAAAGCCAATTATGTAATTTTTAGTATTTTCAGAAAATCAGAATTGATCTTTTTTTAGGTATAGACTTCATTTAAAGCAACCAATATATATATATATATATATGTATGTATATATTTCTCTTAATTTATTTGTGAATTAATTAACTAATTGATTCTGTTTCCCAGCATTAATATATAATTAATTGTTTAAATAAAATAAATTAATAATCATTCGTTTTTACAAATGAATGAATAGATTACTTATTTACTAAAACTATTAATTAATTAACAAATTAAGAAATTAGGGTTCATTATTAATTATTATAATTAATTACTTATTGTTTATTTACAACCAACACTAATTTTAATAATTTCTTGACATAACATAAGCATAATTAATTTATTCACATTAAATTTATAATTAATAATAATAAAATATGATTAATTAAAATTAAATAAATATTTTATTGTAATAAATTATCATGATTTATAAGATTATATCATTTAAATTAATTTACTATATATTTTATAATAAATTAAAACTAAAATTTTAATATTTTTTCTATAAAAATAAAATAATAATAAAAAAAAACTTCACAAAAATATTATTTATTTTATTTTTTATTGTCAAATATTATCTAAATTATAATGATAAAAATATTTTATCAACAATGAAAGCGACAGAAAACAAGAAGGAATTTGCAGAGAAAAGTATGGGTGATTTTCAGAGGAACTAACCTGAAATTGCGTCAGTAATTTCCTCTGTGTGTTCATTCCAATTTCCAGTTCTTATATAAACCGATCCATTGTTCTTCATCTTCTTCACACTTTCTTTTCAAATTCGATCCTCTTCTTCAGAAACTCTGTTTTTGTTCAGACGGATCCGATGACGAATGGAAAGAGCGTAATTCTCGACGTCTCTGGCTGGCTCAGGCTTTTCGACGACGGCTCCGTCGACCGGACCTGGACTGGACCGCCGGAGGTCAAGTTTGTGGCGGAGTCTGTGCCGCCTCACGACGACTTCATCGATGGAGTCGCCGTTCGCGACTTGGTGATTGATCGGGAGTCCGGTCTCCGTGTTCGGATTTATCTGCCGGAGGTAAAATGCAGCGGCGGAGAGAAATTGCCGGTTGTTGTTCATTTTCACGGCGGTGGATTTTGTATTAGCGAAGCGGATTGGTTTATGTATTATCATACTTATACCGACGTCGTGAAATCCGCCGAAGCAATTTGTGTGTCTGTTTACCTTCGCCGAGCGCCAGAGCATCGTCTTCCCGCGGCTGTCGACGACGGCTTCTCCGCTCTCAGGTGGTTGCAATCGGTGGCTCTAGGTCACGAAATCGAGCCTTGGATTATCGAAAATGCGGATTTCAATCGCGTTTTCCTAATCGGAGATAGCTCTGGCGGAAATCTTGTTCACTCTGTCGCTGCCCTAGCCGGAGAAGCCGATCTCTCTCCAGTGAAACTCGCCGGTGGAATTCCGATTCATCCTGGTTTCGTTCGGTCCGAACGAAGCAAGTCGGAGATCGAGAATCCACAATCGCCGTTCTTGACTCTGGATATGGTAGACAAATTTCTGAGCCTCGCACTACCGGAAGGGAGTACGAAGGATCATCCAATTACATGTCCAATGGGAGCCAACGCGCAGCCGCTTGAATCCCTAAATCTGCCGCCATTTCTTCTGTGCATCGCGGAGAAGGATCTGATCATCGACACCGAAATGGAGTATTACGAAGCAATGAAGGCAGCAAATAAAGAAGTAGAGATTCTGATGAGCAAAGGAATGGGACATAGCTTCTATCTCAACAAGATCGCCCTGAAAATGGACCCCGAAACAGCTGCAGCATCGGACCACCTCTTCGCCGGAATCGCTCGCTTCATCAAGCAGCATTAACAACGTTTTCCAGTGAATCTTTGGATCCCTCCGCCGTGGACAGTGAATGTTTATCTAAACTTACTCTACCGTAAAAAAAAAACACAAGTCTAGTTCTTATTTTCATTATCATTCAGTAAAGTTAATAAAAACTTTTCCCCTAATTCAAAACTGCTGCTGCGCCTCAAACCCGGGGAGAACCAGCTAGCTCTAGGTTCGAGTGACATTTCACCCCTAACCACAACTCATCCACTAATTAAACTTATTTTTTTAGTATAGTAAAATTAGAATTAATGTGAAATCTCATATTAGTTGGAACTTTATTATAACTGTGTGGAAACCTCTATCGAGTAAACAGTGTTTTAAAACTGAGGTTTGCTTGAACGGTTACAAATGGTATTAAAGCAAGACATTGACGTTGGTGGCCGCTAAAGGATTAGTTGAATAGTAGAATAAGTATTGATGGTAAGGATGCAAAAATCTCACTCTAATAAATACATTTTAAAACTTTGAAACTGATGACGAATAATAGTATGTAATCCGTTAAAACAGACAAACTTGAGTTAAACACTAAAGTAAACTAAAAATAATGAATGAAAAAACTTATGTGAAAATCTGAATTTTGTAAAAATAAAATTAAAATAGAAAGCGTAGAAGTGAATATCAACCAACCTAAGACTTGGACTATTGCTCGTTGACACTCTACTGACACTTAGACTTCTACCAAAAAAAAAATCATGTGATTCATATTTAAGAAAAAATGGGAAAAGAATATTTCAATATCGAAATATCTAATTGTTTAATTAAATTATTGGAAGGTAAAACATCACATCATTGATTGATCAATTCAACCTAATCTATACCGTTTGGATTGGATTATGAACTTATTTAAATTGAATTGATTTACGACTTCTCTTAAAACTAAATTGAATTGAATCGTACCACTTAAATTTTTAATTTAGATCATGACCATGCTATTTTAGATCTTAATTTGTTCAAGGGTCACTAGTAGATACATGCATGAATAGATACTATGTATTAAAGAGTCACTTGTACCTATGTAAATTTTTTTGATAATAAATGATAATGGAGAACGTCCCAAATTACCTATCTATATATATTAACATTAGTGGAAGAATTAGGAAATCAATCGAGAATTCTTTCATAATTTTACACAGTCATGTACTCTCAAAGAATTCTACCAAATTTCTCGGTTGTAATCTAAAATTTTAAATTTTAAAAACGTATAAAATACGAGAGAGGGAATGATCCTAATTAATGAACCATTTGAACGAAAGTGAATAAACAATGCAGCACAAAATCCGGCCGACTTTCATAAACACAACTTAGGGAAAATCATTTTTCAATTTCTAAGTTTTTTTTTTTTCACAAACTTCAATGAAATCACATGCTTCCATTAACTCAACAACTCAATTAAACTATTTATCTTATTTATTAAATTATGTTTAAAAATATTATCAATCATATAGGTTCGAGAATCTTTTATAAGACTATTAGTATTTTATTTATTAAATTATATTTCAAATAACTATAAATTATAGTTTATTACATTGACTCGATTTCTCTAATGTAAAATTTTGTAGTAACCAAGAAAAATGGACAATCATAGAGAAGAGGAAGGAAAGAGTTTCTAATTATTTCATAAAAATTGTACCAAATTTAATTCTATTCTACCAATCTATTTGACTATAAAGTTGAGATTTAGTGTTCATATTTTATAATAATTTTAAATAAATTTCGACTTTTTTTGTTCTTTGTCATTAATTCTGAAGTAATATGCTAACTAAACTATATAAATATCATTAAATTAATTATTTGTTAAAAAAAATATATTATTTTTTTAAAAATAAACCTTTTCTGACTAATTGTTATGAATTTCAGATAAAAATTAGGTTTAGAATAATAATATGAATCGAACTATGTGAAGATTAAAATTTTTGTTTAAATCTCAATTTCAATTCGAAAGTATTTGTTAGGACAGGTATGAAAGGTTTCTGAACGGTTAAAAAGAATAAATGTAATTTTTTAAAAAATAAATGAAAAAATTAGAAGGCAATTTTTCAATCTAACTTATTAGAAACAAAATGAAAGGAAATCGTGCACATTTATTAAAAAAATTAAAATACACAAAAGTGATGAACAGACACAAATCTATCAAAGCCTAATTGTGAAAAGTAGGTGAATAAATCAGACACAACTTGAGGGAGAAAATTTGTAAGCCCTAACCTGAAAATGTAGGGAAGAGGATCACCTGGCGTTGGAAGCCAGAGGCGCGAATTCGGAGAGAGGAGTAGCAACAGGGGTAGGAGCAGGGGAGTTTCGACACAGGGGGCAAGTGGCGCTCATCCGGAGCCATTCATCGACGCAAGCGGAGTGGAAACAGTGCCGGCAATCCGGAATGCAGCGGACGGAATCGTAGGGCTGGTAATCGGAGAGGCAAATGGAGCAAGGGCCGTGGTTTGGGGCCGGGAGACGGCGGCTCTCTCCGAGGACCAACTTAGGGTACGATTCGATGATGGAGCCGTCTAATCCAACCATGAGAACCACCACATTGTCGGCGGCGGGAGGGGGGAGAGGAGCGGAAGGTCTAGGTCTAGGTCTAGGGCGAGTGGATTTGGCGCGAATGCAAGCGTAGGAGACGAGCATTATGGTGGAGATAAAGACGAGGATGCTAACGGCGATGGCGATGCCGTAGCCGAGGCCGACGCCGGCGTGGGCGGGGGAAGCGGCGGCGGAGGAGGAGGAGGAGGAGGAGGAGGAGGAAGGGGGATCGGCGGAGGACATAACAGAGAGAAAGAGGAATTTGAAAATGGGAGTAGTAATGGAGGAAGGAGTGAATTTGGTGGGAATGGTGGGGCAAAGGGGACAGCGTTTGTTAAGGCACGCCGGGGTCCGCGGGAAAATTTTAAAATGAATTAAAATTAAAAATTAAAAATTAAAAAATAAAATTAAACTGCCTTTGACTTTTTGAGGATTTTTAAAGGCGTGGTTACCGTTTAAACCCCTAACTTTGGTTGTATTATTCAAACAAAATTTCATTATGGTTCTTAATCTTCTTTCTTTTTTTTTAATAACTTTTACTTTAAAATTTGTTAAAAATATATATATAAATTTTTAACCCTTTAATGAAGGATTATTGTACCCGTATGAACTTCTAATCTCATCAAATTGCACTTTAAACTTAAATATGTTGTGAGATCCCGCGTCAATTGGAGAGGAGAATGAAGCATTCTAGCGGTAGACTTGAGCTGTTACAAATGACACCAGAGCTAGATATTAGACAGTGTGCTAGCGAGAACGCCGAGCTCCAAGTAGGATAGATAGTGAGATTCCACGTTAATTTGAGAAGGGAACCAAACATTCCTTTATAAATGTTCAACAATTCTCAATAACCTCAGGCAAAGGAAGAAAATAGCTTGGGAAAACAACATATATAACAACATTATAAATATCAATTCATACCTTACTAGATTTGGCAACCCATTATCTATCTTCTTCTCTTCTTCAGCAGTGATGCCGAACGCAAGAACAATCGATCGACCTCGTCGAATTCAGGTGAATTGACATCTTCCTCCAATATTTTCGCTTGCTTAGAGTCCATGGATATCTCTCTAAATTGGTCGTGAAGATCTTCGGTTTCGCCTGAAAATTTTTCGAACTCTTTCAAATATAGAGGAGGCTCTTCCATTTCCTCATCGGCTTCTGTATCGGACTCGGTCTCAAACATATCAGACAAGTCCTCCGAGTCTGAACTCATTCCTGTATCCATAGGAGAAGAATCATCAGACCAGTGTTCACTAACTCTTCTGGCATCCTTTGACATAGCCTTGGATTTACTTGTGTCGCTTATGGTTTCTTGCACATGTTCAACAGAATCACCATTGTTCTTGCAGTTCAGTTTAGCCTGTGATTGTAATAACCTGAGGTCTTGTTCGAGTTTTGGAATATGCTTTCTCACTGCCTGAAGGCCGTCCCGATATTTCGATTTATCCAGAGCCTGCACGTCCGAAAGGAAACAATTTAGGATCAACCATTTACTTGCAGACATGAGCATATCAACGTGTGATTTTCGATCTCTTCGACAAATTCCGGGACAAACCGAAGGAACAAATAGCAGATAGAGATACATATACAAACCTTCTTTCGAGAGAGAGAGACCCTTGGGGACATTATCTCTGTGGGTGGCTGCGAGTAGTTCTTCCCCCTATACATGATTATGGTATTCTCTTCATGAATGTCAAGCACCATACCACCGGTCAATCTCGCTAGCTCTGCAGCGATCTCTTTGACCTCTTCCGGTGAAAACGTCTTTACTACCACCTTCACCGTTTGATGCTTCTTCCAGTGAAGATGCATATTCAAAACTACGCCCTGGAATATCCCACGTCTTCCAACCGGCACGTAATTCTTTCCCTTGATACCCATCTTCAGAAAGTAGAAGTGTTCTTCTGGTGTCAATATCTCTGGATCATGGGTTGTATCTGATGAATCAGCAGGCTCGATTTTTTCCAGAGCTTCGACAAACCTTTTCTCTTTTCGACGCGCCTATTATAGTGAAGCCGAAAATTAGTAAAAAAAAAATACAACGTTTATAAACCTTCCTTCTTTAAAGTCGATCAAGTAAATGAAATGTACTACAAGAGCTGGAATGCAGTTGGACTTTGAGAGAGACATCAAAATGTACCAAGCTTTAACTTCCTGTTACATTTACTATCATCGCAAACAAAAAGGTTGGATGATAGTTTGTTCCTAATAATCTAAGTAGAAACAAAGTTATTTCATCTTATCCAATTTAATAATGAAAATCTAAGTAGTAAACCTAAGCATAGCTCATGTAGCCAAGGGATATATCTCAGACAAAGTGATCAAAAGTTTGAATCTTCACTTCACATAAACCATAACCAGGGTACATGTAACAATCCAAACCTACTACTAGCGGATATTGTCCTCTTTAGGCTTTTCCATTTCGGATTTCCCTCAAGATTTTTAAAACGCGTCTGCTAGAGAGAGGTTTCCACACCCTTAAAAAAAAATGTTTCGGTCTCCTCCCCCAACCAACGTGAGATCTCACAGTACGTAAATAAACTTTTCTTCAAACAATAGTGTTGTTCATGCATTCAATATAATTGACCTCTACAATTTGATCTTATT